GAGACGCGCCGTCGTGCGCAAGGGGCGGCCTGCTGCGCGTGGCGGCCCCTGGAGGCCGGCGGTGGCGCGGCATCCTGTGGAGCTGGGGCGGAGTCTGGGCAAGGGATGGGGCCAAGGCGGAGCAGGGGTCCACCGCTCTAAATGAAGGGTGTTGATGCCCACCACCATCTCACTTCCCTCTCTCTCCCTGTCTCTATCTCCGTCTTTCTCTCTCTCCCTCCGTCTATCCCTTTCTTCTTTTGTCAAAAAAAAATTACCCTCCTTCCTTCCTTGATTCCTCCCTTTCTCCCTGCTTTCCTTTGCTTCTATTTCTTCCCTTTAACAATACTTATCGGATCCTACACTGGGAGCCGGATGCGTCAAACCCAGCACACTGGGAACTGAAGGATTTTAATCCTGAAAAAAAATCCTTAAGTGCTGTCTTAGGCTGCGTTTTCTAGAGAAGCATAACCAGTGCAGTGTATAAATATAGAGAGAGCAAGATCTATGTGAAGGAAACGGCTCGCCCACTGTAGAGGCTGTAAAGTCTCAAGTTCGTGGGTCAGGCTGGTGAACCCAAGATCAGGAAGTCAGACAGGAGGCCTCTGGCTCACAGGCTGTGGAGGCCGATGAATCCCAAGATCGACAGGTAAGACAGCAGGTTAGCTGCTAGCTCGAGTCCCAAGAACCAGAGGTCAGATGAACAGGAGCCAGCTGCGGGATCCAGAGGGAGCAAAAGCCAGCAAACCTTCCCAGAAAGTCCGCCTGTATTGCATTCAGGCCACACCCCCAAGGACAATCCCTTTCAACTGATGAGCTACTCGCAACAAATCTCATCATGGAGGGGATGACGTTATACAAGATCTCGTTATGGAGATGATCACATCATTCAAGAACTGCCAGACTACATCACAACTGCCAAAACAATGAGGATCATGGCCCAGCCAAGTTGCCACACAACTTTAATCATCACATGTGCTGATATGTAAAGGCCTTATTATTAAACAACAACAATAATAACAAAGTATGGAGCAAGGTGTATTTAGTAAGATACATTTGTGGAAATAAATGTTGACATTGAGATAAAAAGGCTGTGGATGGACACACCAGAACCGGTGAACAGGGGTTCTCTACGAACAGGATCGGCGGCGGAGTGGATTATTTTACTTTCACCCTTCTCTCTGCTGTTTGGATTTTTTCATGTGCATGCTAAATTTTTTAAAAACAGGAGAAACGAATCTTCTCAACAATAACAAAATAAAAATATTTTTAAAAAGAAATGAAAAGAAAGATGAAATTTATAAGTTAAATTAGCTATAATTAAAGAATTCAGAAAATATCATGCACATATATCTATTTCATGGAATCTCACACCAAACGGGTCTGGACAATGTTGCTTTGTAAGTGGACATCCACTCCTCACCTTGTTTGTAGCCCTTTCATTCACTCTCAACCTTAGATGCTGAGCCCTACTGGGGTGATGAGTTATTCAAATTACTGTCCATCAGCATTTACTCAAATATGCAGTGATAAGATGTATTTCATATAGAGACAGTCAATGTTGACTACAGGGAAACAGAATAATGTACATATTTTCTATACTATAATCTTGTAAGACAGGAAGGGCAGATAGTATGCTTACTCTCGTTTTAAAGATGAGGAAACAGATGCCCAGAGAAGTGAAGTAGGTTGCCGGTTAGTGGTAGAGCTCAAGTCCAGGTTTTCTGAATCTGAATCCCAAGCCTTTTTAACTTATGAACAGGGTAAAAGATATTTTGATGACCTCTACTTTTACTCATTTAGTACCCTGTGTATTTTTAGATAACCTCATAGTCACAGCCTGCTCTCAAGAAAGCATCTAATATCAGTCATTTATGTTTCAGTAAGACTTTGGACCCCTAGATCACCTCTCCCAGGAGGAATTGTTGCTTAGCTTGAACTCCAATGGTGATATGAAAGGCTTATATTTCAGGATCCTATTGCTGGCAAAGAATATTGAGTACACCATGGACTACCAGAAGAATGAGCAGGTCTGTATTGGGAGAAGTACAGCCAGAGTGCTCCTTGGAAGTGAGGATGGCAAGACTCAGTCTCACATTCTTTGGACATGTTATCAGGAAGGACCAGTCGCTGGAGAAGGACATCATGCTCGGTAAGGTACGGGGTTATCGAAAAAGAGGAAGACCTTCAACGAGCTGGATAGACACGGTGGCTGCAACACTGGGCTCAAACATAGCAATGATTGTGAGGATGGTGCAGGACCGGGCAGAGTCTCAGTCTATTGTGCACAGGGTTGCTATGAGTCGGAACTGACTCAACAGCAGCTAACGACCACAACATTGTTGGTGAGTGACAGAAACACAATTTGGGTTATTTAAAGTAAATAAAAAGGGATTTATTAGTTTGCATATCCGTGAAGGGCAGGAACAAAACTTGTCTGAGAGAAGATGGGAACCAGAGACTTCACGCTGTTGAGATTCTCTCTTTCTCTGTGTCTGACTTTGTCTTGTCTCCATGTTGGGCTCCATCTTTTTTTTTTTTTTTTTTTTTAATATGACTGGAAACATGGCTATTAGCAGCTTCTTCTAGGGTCTCTTCTTTGTTGTTTCCTGACCAACTAGGAAAAGAGTCTCTTCTCTATCAGCTTCACCCAGAAAAATCCCAGGGAAGGACTTTGATTGGGTTGGCTTGGCTTGGCTTGGGTCCCATGTTTTGTGGGCAAGGCAGTGGGATATTATCATTGACCCAGCTTGGGTGCCAAGCATACCCCATGGACAAAAGGAGTGGAATCTGTGATTGGCAGCCCCCACCAGACCCCCATGGTTAGCCAGGGAAGATGAGGTTGCTCTAATGAAGGGAGTTGCTTTTCCATGGAGATTAAACATTTGTGACTATTACCTCCCTATAACAAGCTTCTCTGGCATCTGTGAGGTAGAAGTGGGGGTGGGGGAAGAGGAGTTTTGTTGGGGAAAAGGGAACCTCCATTGCTCTGAAATCAAGCCACCAACACTCCTAAGTATAGGACAAAGCTTAGTTTCAGCTTTTCAGTCAGTGACTGCAATTCTTCTTACATTAAGGAGAACCACTCTGCCAAGTCCCTCTGTGGATCTGACTTCCATTGTGGCATGCCTCACTCCAGGTTGAATCTGTGTGTTTACCTGTCTGCTTCCTATTATTCACCCTGTGTGCTTCCTGAGGGCAGAGTCTTGTCTCATTCCTCTTGGTACCTACAGTACCCAACGAGGGCCTGGCTATGCATTTCTATCCTTCAGTGACAACTACTCTACAAATGCCCTACGTAGCTCTCTCTTTCTCTTCCTATGACCACCTGTGGTGGAGGAAAGGGATCTAGTTAACTCACTCACACTATGGAGCTAGTCATTTGCCTCCCCACTCAAGAGAGTCCCTACATGGGTCCCAAGGTGTTCACAGCAGTGAAAAACGAGTAAGAACATGAAGCAGAAAAATACCTCACAGAAAAAATTCCTGGAAGGCAGGGGCCCCAACTCATCCATTTCTGTATTCCCAGCACCAGTAGTGTGCTTGGCATAGGAGGCACCAAAAAAAATGCTAGTTGAACTGAACTAAATCGTGACAGGCAGACTCCAAAGTGACATCCAAAGATCCTAACTTCTTGTATTCATGGCCTCCTCTTGAGTGTGGACTGGCCTAGCAACTTGTTTCTAACCAACAGAAAATGGCGAGGGTGATGGGATGTCACGTCTTTGATTAGGTTATAAGATTGCAATTTCCATTTTACTGGCAGACTCTCTACTACCTTCTTGGAGAGGCCCATGAAGCAAGCAACTGTGGGCAGCCTCCAGCTAATACCCAGCTAGGAACTGAGGATCTCAGCTCAACAGCCCTTGAGGAACTGAATTCTGCCAACCACCACCTGAACTTTAAAGCAGATCTTTCCTCAGTGGAGCCTTCAGATGAGACAACAGCCCTGGCCTACACCTTGATTGTAGCCTTGTGAGAAACCCTGAAGCACAAGACCTAGCTAAGCCACAACCAAACTCTTAATCCACAGAAACTGTGAAATAACAAACGTGCTGTTTTTAGCCACTAAGTTTTGGGATAATTTGCTATATGACAATAGATAGCTAGTACACATATCATTCCCAAACAGAGAAACTTTCTAAGCCTGCTATGTATTGGAATAAGAAGGACTAAAGTGGCAGCAACAACAGCTACTGTCCGCTGAGCAATTGCTTGTGCAGGGTACCGGGCTAAAACATTGCACACATTATCCTCTTTCAACCTTACTCTAGGCTGGTGAGATTAGTCCTGTTATCCTTATTCCGCAGGTGAGGAAACTGGGGCTTGGAGAAGTCAGTGGTTTATCCAAGGCCACACGGCTTGCTGACCTGGGATTTGCCTCCAAAGCCCATACTCTAACCATTTTGCAACACTGCTGTTTGAAAAGAGGGCCAGATAATCTCCAATATCCCTTTATGCATATTTGGAATAGTGCTAGATCAAAACAAATTAGAGAAGAGGATGCACACGCCTGTATAAACATGTACAAGTAAATGCTGGTGCATTGAAAGGGATTGTGGTGCAATGGGTTTCTCTTATATATGGCCTTTCTGGCCTTGGGTTTATAATTCTGCCAAAAAAACAATCCGCTGGACCACAATCTTGCAAGGGATTAGTCAGTATACTATGCAAATAAGGTCCATAAAATCATCCACAAGGATTAAGTGACCTTTCAGAAATTGGTCAATTACTATGCAAACGGTGTGATTGTGGTCTACCAGAGTTGGGGGGGGGATTTGTCAATTTGTTGTAATCGTTATGG